TACAGTGTACCAAGTATAGACTAATTGGTCTCTTGTTGTCTACCGTACAGTGTACCAAGTATAGACTAATTGGTCTCTTGTTGTCTACCGTACAGTGTACCAAGTATAGACTAATTGGTATCTTGTTGTCTACCGTACAGCGTACCAAGTATAGACTAATTGGTCTCGTGTTGTCTACCGTACAGTGTACCAAGTATGGATGGTAATATGGTAATATATTTGTCTTCAATACAGACAGTCATAGGCAGAATGTAATGGTCAAGGGGGTTGAAATGTTTATATAGATATTGACTTTCTCCATGGTTTATTGCCAGACGATGGCCATTCCTTCAGTGTGATCTTGATTAAACGATCTTTTGAATTCTTCAAAATTCTTATTCCATTAATTCCACTCCGGAATTATGCAGTGTCACAATAACTCTGATGCCATGGAGCTAAGAAGAGACGAATGGGAATAAGACGTTTGGATAATGATTTGGTTGAACAACTATAGCAACTATGGAACCCAATACAAAGGAAGCAGGACCGTTATATTGGTATTTCGAAAGAATTAAGACAGCAACGTGATTTTAAGACGTGTTTCTTTGGTTATCAAGCAAGATTGGTCCTTTTTGCAAGAAGGAAATGTATAAACGTTTACAGACGAGGAATAGGTCATTAGATGCCTTGGCTGCAGACACGACGACATACTTACCATACTGATCGTTGAGTTTGGTTTTGACATCAAGTTCAATAAATACAGATTGGTGCTTTTGTTGTTATCTTGGATTTCAAAGTGTTCCTTCCTTTTAGCGATGAGCATGATAAATTAAATCAATCTGAAAGTGAATTGAATCAGTATCTTAAAATTTACATTCTAATTAATAATAGATGTCAATATTAGATACTTTGGACTCTTCAGAAAAAGCTCGCGTAGCTTGGCAATGTTGATATTGTTACCTCCAGGTACTACTTGTCCACCTAGATCATAACTGTTTGGAGATGTGGAACAAGAACATGATGAAGAAGGAGTTATTTTAATGTTATCTTAATTCGCTCTTGTATCGTTTGATTGCAGTTGAAAAGCTTGGAAACAGTGAGCGTAGACCTCTTTACGGTGGTGTATTAGCTTCGACAAAATGTTGGTGTAGAACATTACTGTTGTTAATGGTATAAATCCCCATTTTGACAAAGACTTTCACACAATTTCGAGTTACCGGGAGTCGCGACCATTCTCACAAACAATCATAAAGAGTTGAATATGTGCTACATTATCAATAATTTATGAAATCCCCAAGCTATTTTCCAAATGTCATCAGGAGCAGTTTTAGCAACTTTCATAAGGTCTTTAATCCTTTATATCGTACTCGGTTGAATTGTTGTAATACCGTCCATGACTAGGCTTACGTCTCCTTTGAGGAGTGAAATTATATTGAGTACTGCTCCACAATATGGTCACTCCTCCTAAAGAAAGACATACAACGACGGGCAACTAAAAGGTTTATTACATTGCAAGACTTACCTTACCCAGATCGACTAAAACGACTAGGATTGTCCACACTTGAATATAGAAGACTACGGGCTGATTCTGAGTGGTGTGGACGAAGCAGACAAGTCTAAATTATTTACCGAATCCACCTATCCGGCAACTAGAGGTCACCAGCTAAAGCTCTTTAAGAAACAATGCCGCTTAAACACCACGAAGAACATTTTCAGCAATTGTGTAGTTACTAATTGGAACAATTTATCAACTGAAGTGGTTAATGCCGAAAGTTTGAATAGTTTTAAAAATAGGTAAAACGTGCACTGGAAAGATCATGCACACAAATTGTATCCGTCCTTTTAATCTACGATGTGTAAATATTAATTATTACTAGTGCGACAATTCCACTTCA